GTGGAGGATTACGTAACGAAGCTAGTTGTCTGGCATCTCAAATTCAATTGACTTCACAGACTAGTACGTCATCCTGAGATCATGAAGTGGCAGTGTTAAATATGACAACAGATTTATCCGCCATTGTATTGAGGTATTATCCTCAGTTTCGATACTACCTCCAGTCAAAAGTACGTATAAAAACAATGTCATTAGAAAACATTTTGAAAACTCCTTATTTTCTAAAACGTTAAGCTCTCCAGGGAAACATTATTGATCAACAGAGAATTTTTCTCCAATACAATAACTTCTGCAGTGGGTATGGCCACAATATTTAGGCAGAATGAAAAGCCTGTTGTTTGCATTTCAAGACGCTGAAGTGCAAGTGTACACGACCAATCAAAGACACACACATAGGAAAAAGGATGCTCTCATCACTCCATATTCCGTATTCAGTTGCTTATTTTCACTTATCACCAGGCTTTGAAAATCGTTCACCATCCTGAAACTCCCTTGATTGGATCAAGTATGGAATTCTAAACTAAGTGCAAAAATATAGCATGTTGAACAGACACAAGTTATAGATACACCAGAGTGGAACAACTTAACTCTGTGTATTGTCATTTCACTACACAGGTATTTTATGTCATGCAATGATCTACATTAGATTTGGAAAAAACAAGTATATTAGTTAATGTGTGGCAGTAATGTAAGTGAAAATTAAATTGTTTATCTCCACACGTTCATTGTTTACGCATATAAATTGTGTGTTTTTTCAACTTACATGACGGAAATGCACAGCTTATCTTAAGATAATAAAATGAATTTTCTTCAGTTTATTTTGTTACCTATGAAATTACTAGACATCCATAAGTGATTTAGAAGTAAACAGCAATATTCATAACAAGATTATGAATGATCACGCCATAAAGTGATTTCCATTGTGTGCCAAATCACCTTAGAAACGTGTGTTTCGTGTTTACGTTGTACATCTTAGGTGTTCACACCCCCTTCCATTTTCATTTCCAGGAATCTTATTCTTTTCCTATTGCATACAACAGATCAGATTACTATCTGAATATATTAGTTTATTATCAGGGAAGGAGAGTAAGCTGACATTGATATTAGAGAACTTTAACAAAGCCCATCCTTAAGTAGTTTGTACTAAAGAAACAGAAAGGAATGAGTTTATTCTGATTTTTGAATGTTCAAGTGACAACACGAGTAAAAGGAACAAAACGTAGAAGCTTAGATCATAAATTTATGTCTGCTATGCATTGTACTCGCTTTATGAGTTTCATTTTGATGCATTCTGGTTCGATGAATAGTGCATCATGCTAGAGTTCATGTTTTCACAGAAAACATACGATAAAGAACATGGTTGTCTTCGTGACTGACTATTTAGAAACTCGTATACGATAAAATTTAATAGAATAAACCTTATATATTGTAAGCACAAAATTCAGCTGGCCTAAATGCATGTTCCTGAGATTACGATGCGTAGAAATAATTGGTGGTGTCGTTGGATTATAGCTTCCCAGAAGAAATGGCTGCGTTTATTTCTATTTCTGATAAGCCATTCAATCAGATTCGAGATTCAAGTAAAATGATGCCATATTCATTTGCAGATGATACGAACCACAAAATCACACTTCTCATAAGTTGGTTCCAATTTACCTCATTCTGCAAATCATGTTTTCTCAAGTAAACTGATATGTAGAATCAACATTTTATGGAAATAGTAGATACGTTTACGAAATTATACATTCTTCAGTGTTAAACAGATGTTAATTATACGTTTCTTAGTTTACAAAATCACTGAAGACTCTATTTTCTTTTCTCCATTCTAAAGTTGAAAATACTTCAAATTAGATGATAAAACTAGTGAATGGCGTCAAAAGTGCGCCAAAATACAATAACAAAAGACCATGTTTGGTTTATATTTGTATTTCATTTGTAAAATCATACATATACAAGAGTTAGACCTGATGAGATCTAAATGAAAACAATATTGTTTGCTTAAATGTGTTGTTCTAAAAAACAATTAGAAATATTCTTTGAAGTACCACAACAACTCTGAAGTTGAAATGGAGACATTTTCTTTCATGGTAATGGATGATAAGACTTGTAAACAATAACAAATTTCAGTATATAAGGAAACGTAGAATTAGAGAACACTTTGATCACAATGAACTTCTACAAAGAAATACTACTTCTTATCTGTATTTCGTGCCTTATTCGTGATGGTGAATGTGGTAAGTTGAAAATTTAGGATCACATTTTATCATTTCATGTATATCATAATGTTGGTTTTGCCTGCCCTGAAACCGCCACAACTACATTCAACTTTGTCAGTGAGCTTCAAATTATTCCTCATACAGCTTTTTCTATGTCATGCTCTAGCCTGATATATTCCTCTTCGTTTTTAAGTTGTACTAGAGAATCACTTCAGTGATGCGCTTGACAACCTCTTCATCACATGTTTGAACCACCTTCATTTTATTCCGCATTTTTATTAGGCGATACTTTCTCGGTTAGTTCTCTGGTAGCTAGATTTCCTTATATCTTATTCCTTCATGCTTCCATCTGATCATCGATTTTGAGTGAACACGACAGTCAATGATACTTTGTAAACTGTTGCGAATGCTTTAAGTGAGGTAGACACCAAATCTATGAACCGCCTAAAAGAAACGACTTTATATTGGTGATGGATATAAGGATCATATACCGTGTTTATTAACGTAGTTCCCCTCACTTATTTTTGAGTAGTGAACGTCAGTATTGCTTTCTCAATCATGGATCTGACATCAGAATCAGTGTCGCTTAAATTTGATCAGATGCTATCTGTGTTAGTAATAGAGATGGATTCCGTAAGATTTCTCTCATTTTATAGGATTGGTGTTTGTATCTGAATCATCTTTGTCTTCCTTATGTTTGCCCGAATTCCTGGTTTCACTGCTTTTCCTTTCAGTTGGTTGGTTTTCGCATCAACAGCCTTTAGTTTGTATGACAGGATGATATAAATCATCCATTCAGACTTCAGTCCAACGTATCCTCATCATCGAATGCCCCCGTCTGTCTAATGATTTGCTCCACCAAATTAAGGAACATCAATCGTGATAGCAGATGAACTGTCTTATCTTCGTCATGAATGCTTCATACTGACTTTAGTTGTGAATCACGAGAGACGGATCACCACCATACAGCTACTAAATACAGTACTTCATTTTGTCATGTTGACGGAGTTCCCGAATTACTTCACGGTAGATAAGTATTTCAGAATCCATGGAGTTGAAATAAAAGACTGAAACTTGTACCAGACTGTATGCGGTTTTGAGGAAAACTGATGTCATTTCAGTCCGCGCATTACTAGGTTTCGCTAAATCCACCCTGCTTCAGTATTATTATTCTTTCCCAGAATGTAGGCATTCAAAATTTTGCTCAGGACGTAAAGTAATCTCAGTACACAGGTAAATCAAATTGCATTAAATTCTCTTGAAGCACTGGTGTTAGCATGGCATTAGAAATAACATTATTACGTAGACAAATTACTAATCGATTATTGTATGATTCCCTGAAACTCATGTTGCGTCTCAGTTTTTCACAAATGTTTGTCTTATCTGCAGTCTCAATGTGTTTATGCGCATCCAAATGATTTTAAAGTTTACATATAAGGCAAACTCATACATTCTTCCATGTAAACATCTCATGCTAATGTTACTACTGTGTTTTAAATTTAATTATATAACAAAGGACGTAAGTTTTTGATCCTGTTTTCGTGTATTCAAGTATGTGTGTCACATACAACAGCGTTGAACAGATTTCTAGCATTTCCTAGATCCTCACAACTTACTATTTTTCTCAGACATTCAGATGACTAAGAAAATATATAATCTCGAATATGGCCAGACAACGAGCAGGCGGTTGCTTCGACTTCATCCCTCAGAATTGTCAATTGAATTTGAATGAGATGACGCCCTTCTTTCAAATCCGAAGATTATTAAAATTTATGGAATATCGAAATATTCAAAGGCAAGTAGGCGACAGGAAATTGCTTAATTTAGAACTCAAGCGTTCAGTAATTTCGAACCGATACAATCTCAGTCTGAAGAGGGGTATTTGGAAATGGCATTTGATTGAAGCTATATGTGGGTGTAATTATGGTCGGTGTAGGGTCACACTCTCTTTTTATTCACGAGACTTTCATTATTTGATGATATTAGATGGTTGGTGGCAATCGAATGGAAGCCCTGGACCTACCTTTCGTGCTAGTTGGCACCCACCAGTCAGTTGAGCATATATGGAACCTGGAAGGAACTCATATCCCTTCTGAGATTCGAACTCGAGTCACACGGTAGTGAAGTCAGAGACGTAACCACTGATCTATTCTGACTTGCCATTAACTTCGTGTAGGACTGTATTGGATGCTTTGATTGGACATTAGTAACTAGTGTGATGTGTCCAGTCCTTCCTTTGATGCCGACTTAATTCTGTCAGTCACCACTAGGCACATCCCACTAGTTAGTAGTCTCCAATCGAAAACTTTCATTATATTGTGCTACCACCTCTATTAAGCATGTGTAGTCGTAATTCAAATTGTCGAAACCTACTGATAAGTTGACTGTTTTTAAATAAAGTATAATTATATTTCAATAGTTTACACACAATGTTAATTTTTGTTATTGGTAATATTTCGAGCAAAATTGCAGCCCGTATTGACACCAGTGTTGGATTTGTTTTATTCACACATTTATTATTTGTACTCATATATATAGTTCATTATTATAAATTTTTTTGCTCATTCGTGTTTTGTGTGTGTGTTCAGAATTATATTTCACGTTCATTCATGTGTTTGTATTAGAATTATATTCCAAGTTGTTGATACTTGTACTGAGTCACCCTTGTTACATGTATCCGGTGTGACTTTAATGAATATCGATTCCGTTATTAGAAGTCTTTCTTTCTATTAGTTCATGTTAGTTTTAAGAATACACACATTGTTCCAATCGACATTGTGGTCTTTGTCCCATGCATGTGCAGCTATCGATGAATTTTTCTCAAGTTTTTGTAAGCTTGTGTCCCTGTTGGTTGACCTTTGGTTAGACGTTTATGTTCAGTCACTCTTATTTTGAGTGATCTGGACGTTTGCCCATCATATTTCGTCGGACAGTTAGTACAAGATACTTTGTAAATCAAATTTTTTTATCCATCATTTTTATGGGATCTTTCAGTGGATTTATTTTATTTTTGATGAGATTCGTTTGTTTAAACGTTGTCCGAATGTCGATATTTTTGAGGTTTCTTGAATTGCCTCTGATGTTCATTTTCATACGGTATTGTGACTGTTTTTTGTATTCTTCTATCTTGTTATTCTCCGGTTTTACCCTCATTTTTCTCTTTTTTATATTATCTTTTATAAATTCTTTAGGGTAGTTGTTTTCGAGTAGCATTTTGAATAGGACTTTTATTTCTTTACGCTGGTCCTCTGGTGTTGTTATAAGTCTACGTATTCTATCTGCAAGACCTTGTATTAATCCTCGTTTTACCGAGAGTGGATGAGCTGAGTGATAATCAAGGAATCTTCCAGAATGTGTGGCTTTTTTATATATCGTTGTTTTCATGCTACCATCTGTCATTCTTTGTAGTTTGCAGTCTAACTTGGGCAGTTCTCCAATTTCATTCTCTAATTCCATAGTGAATTTTATTGAGTCCACGTGTCTGTTTATGTGTGAGAAAAGTTTCTCAGTATAGTTTTTTCTCACTATTAACAGTGTGTCGTCTACATATCTCCACCAACATTTTAGTGATGATCTGAATGGTTTAAGGGCATTCTCCCCTCAATAATCCATGAATATGTCAGCTATAATTGGTGAGATAGGTGATCCAATAGCTACTCCCTCATTTTGTTGGCATATTTTTCCTTCGAATGTGAGATATGTTGTTGTCAGACAGAATTCTACGCCTTTTATTCAAAATTTTTTTCAACAGCAAGTAAGCTAATTATTATTTTTCTCATAAAGTCCGTATAAATTTACAATATAATGCAGAATCTATTGAAATCATAGTGTATTAACCAGCAAATTTTACTAATATCTCCCATGAATCGTTTAGAAAACAATCGTTGAATCACTTCAAACCGACGCAATCTCGGTCTGAAGAGGGGTATTTGAAATGGCATTTGATTGAAGCTATATGTAGGTGTTATTGTGGTTGGTGTAGGGTCACACCCTATTTCAATTCACGAGACTTTCATTATTTGATGATATTAGATGATTGGTGGCAATCGAATGGAAGCCTTGGACCTACGTTTCTTGCTAGTCGACTTCAGTCAGCAAGGCGTATCTGCAACCTTGAGGGAACTCATATTCCTTCTGAGACGTAACCACTGATCTAATCTGACTCGTCATTGACCTCCTGTAGGACTGTTTTGGATAATTTTAGTGGATATTAGTAACTAGAGTGATGTGTCCAGTCCTTCCTTTGATGCCGACTAAATTTTATCAGTCAGGACCAGGAACATCCCACTAAATAGTAGTGTCCAATCGAAAACGTTCATTATTTTGTGCTCCTATCTCTATAACAGCATGTTTAGTCGCAATCCATATTGTCGAAACCTACTGATAAGTAGATTGTTTTCATTTCAAATGTGCTTAAACAGAAGGTAAGCTGATTATTATTTTTCTCATAAAGTCCGTATAAATTTACAATATAATGCAGAATCTTATTGAAATCATAGTGTATTAACCAGCAAATTTTACTAATATCTCCCATGAATCGTTTAGAAAACAATCGTTGAATCACTTCAAACCGACGCAATCTCGGTCTGAAGAGGGGTATTTTGAAATGGCATTTGATTGAAGCTATATGTAGGTGTTATTGTGGTTGGTGTAGGGTCACACCCTATTTCAATTCACGAGACTTTCATTATTTGATGATATTAGATGATTGGTGGCAATCGAATGGAAGCCTTGGACCTACGTTTCTTGCTAGTCGACTTCAGTCAGCAAGGCGTATCTGCAACCTTCAGGGAACTCATATTCCTTCTGAGACGTAACCACTGATCTAATCTGACTCGTCATTGACCTCCTGTAGGACTGTTTTGGATAATTTTAGTGGATATTAGTAACTAGAGTGATGTGTCCAGTCCTTCCTTTGATGCCGACTAAATTTTATCAGTCAGGACCAGGAACATCCCACTAAATAGTAGTGTCCAATCGAAAACGTTCATTATTTTGTGCTCCTATCTCTATAACAGCATGTTTAGTCGCAATCCATATTGTCGAAACCTACTGATAAGTAGATTGTTTTCATTTCAAATGTGCTTAAACAGAAGGTAAGCTGATTATTATTTTTCTCATAAAGTCCGTATAAATTTACAATATAATGCAGAATCTTATTGAAATCATAGTGTATTAACCAGCAAATTTTACTAATATCTCCCATGAATCGTTTAGAAAACAATCGTTGAATCACTTCAAACCGACGCAATCTCGGTCTGAAGAGGGGTATTTGAAATGGCATTTGATTGAAGCTATATGTGGGTGTAATTATGGTCGGTGTAGGGTCACACTCTCTTTTTATTCACGAGACTTTCATTATTTGATGATATTAGATGGTTGGTGGCAATCGAATGGAAGCCCTGGACCTACCTTTCGTGCTAGTTGGCACCCACCAGTCAGTTGAGCATATATGGAACCTGGAAGGAACTCATATCCCTTCTGAGATTCGAACTCAAGTCACACGGTAGTGAAGTCAGAGACGTAACCACTGATCTATTCTGACTTGCCATTAACTTCGTGTAGGACTGTATTGGATGCTTTGATTGGACATTAGTAACTAGAGTGATGTGACTAGTCCTTTCTTTAATGCAGACTTAATTTTATCAGTCAGGACCAGGAACATCCGACTAAATAGTAGTGTCCAATCAAAAACGTTCATTATTTTGTGCTCCTATCTCTATAACAGCATGTTTAGTCGCAATCCATATTGTCGAAACCTACTGATAAGTTGATTTTTTTATTTCAAATGTGCTGAAACAGGAGGTAAGCTGATTATTATTTCTCTCATAAAGTCCTTATAAATTCACAATGTAAAACAGAATCCTATTGAAATCATAGTGTATAAACAAGCAAATTTTACTAATATCAACCATGAATCGTTTAGAAAACAATCGACCCCTACCAGTTTGTTTAGCGCCTCAATATTTAGGATGGGAGCCAGTTTACTGTTTCAACCTCTCAGTTCATGGAGTATCACCTGTGATTACCCTGAATTGATGTGGCATACCCAGGTGTCAATTACATGAAAATGGCACACACACAACTGAATTTATTTTAATCAGTAGTGAGATTGTCATTGACACTGAAGTGTTTCCTGTGTGATTTCTCAGTATAAATTCGTTGTTATTCTAGAAATAATACTTTGTGTTGTACTCTCATTTAAAGTTTGTGTGCAACTTTTCATTCTAAAAATCTTACCTGCTTTCTAAATTAGACTGCTAATGCCTATCCTAATGTAGGCAAAGTAATTAGACAGCAGTTGTATCCGAATTTTTTTCTAAATGATAAAGCTTGAAACTAAATAACCACACAGACCTCATGACACCACAACACACCAATCGAAAATGATTCCTTTTGGCTTGTGTTCAAACGTCTTCCATTTCCAGGGAATAACAATGTTTATAGGCGATTCATCGATTCAAGCGCTTTATTAGGAAGATAATATCTACTGTGTATATTATCATACATCTCGTCGATTTTCTCAGTTTGCAACTATGAAGTATATTTTGAAGTGAACACAGAGGTTATTCAGTTTGCACTGTTTAACATCATAATACACCATCCTTGTCTTACATAATCAGTGGAGTAGTTCAAGGAGTATTCAACAGGCGTTCTGTTATATCTGTGAAGCTGATTGTTACAACGGTAAGGAACTTAACTGGTAGGCTAATACGCCTATTCTTCTGTTGAGCTGTCTGCTTCACAGGGCCACGCATATATCAAATGACAATGGCTAGTCTGAGAATGTAAGATACTCTTTATTTATTAGGAAACAACACATCACATTTATACGATTTCCTCACCGCAATAAAGTCGGCTCACAGCTGTACGAATGGATTGTTCTTAAAGATTGGCAACAGTTATTCTGATTGGTTGGCAATTCGACAAAGGCCAAGGTGAGACAAAAGGTGATGAACTGATCACACAATAAATAACAGTGTGCTTGAGATATAATGGATTAATATCGTTTATCCATCACAAGATAAATCACAAGGTTCGTGGAAAAGAATGATATATCTTTTTATGCTGGTTATTATCACTGAGGCTATAATTTTGGCTTAAGTATGATTGATTTGTTTATTCGACATCTATGCATATTGGAGAATAACATACAATCGCATTATCTACATATATTTTCAGCCTATTATAGTAAGTAGTCAATTATTCTGGGAATAACCATAACTTTGATATTTCTGGTGGGTCGGAACTAAATTCCTTTCTGTGCAATAGAATGCCCTGAGAATGTTTCCAGGTCGATGTATAAGGATAACTTAGGCCTGTTTGAAAGATAATACACATTGAAATGATGCACATAATTAATTAACTAAGGTGAACGTGTTTGACTGATCAGAAACGCATATAATAACAAACACCTATCCGTGAAACTGATGACAAAAATGGAATGTAATGAAGCAACATGTCTGTTATTCCGGGATTGAATTTTGTGATTTGGTAGACAGATATAGTCAAAACACGTCTATCGTGTATTAGAATCACAGTATGTATATATCTTCGGGTTTCTTTTACCTTGTCTTCTATATTCCTCTTCTTTGTCTTCCTCTCTTGTTTCACATGTTGTTTCTGAAGCATCAGCGACTGAATCCATCTCTCTGTATTTCACTATTTTTGACTCACCATCTGTATACTTCTTGTAAATGCAGTCAGTAATATCCACCAAATGTTAAATGGGATGACATTTCGCTTTATTGTATAGTAATAATAATAACGACCACAAATTTTATGGATAAAATATTTACGAACTCCTAATTGTTTGTCGCATGACGTTGCTTTCAGCAATTTGTTCATATCATTAAACTTCCTGTAAATTATTATGAAATTCACGACATCATCAACTAAGAGCGAATACAGCTTTGTGACAGCATCACATTTCAGAGAGATTTGCAGTCAGATATCTTACAAAGACTTTCAAAATCGTTCTCGTGTGAGAGAATTATGAATACTGGAATCCTGTGAACGATACGGCCGGTGATATTGTAATATTATCAAACAAATATGATATTTGTTATGAACAGAAAGTAACACTTCCTGTGATTTTCTCCCTCAGTGGTATAGTCACTGTCGCAATAATGTGTTCCTGTCAGATCATCCCAACATTAAGACATGGTATTGGGAAAGTGAATTGAATTTTCAGCACAGAACTTTGATCTTAAGTGTAAAACATCAAGTTTTCACACTTCATAATCAGCAAGTGTAAGAAGAAAAAGAAAGTAAACGACAATAAACTTTGGTAACCACAAATTAGGAAGAGATTAGATAATCTAATCGAGAACAAACGAAATTCGTACGTCACTAGATAAACCGCATAGTCCTCACTAGCCCTTTATGTGGTCTAGTTTTCAGTTGTCAGCTGATGCTCTCATAAATCTCGCTAAGCCTGTTGCAAGTCCAGTGAAGAGAGACAGTTCGACATGTGAATAGGAGATTAGTTCCGTAAAAATGAAACCCCAGCTATAGAAATTTCAAAGCTTTATTTATCTTGAAGCTCTATGTTTCATTTGGAACTCAAAGGAATAAATTTAACCAAAAAATAATTGTGCGATATGGTGGATCAATGAGCCGTAAAACAGTGGTGCTCCTGTGCCCCCTGTGGCTTGCACCGTCACCCAAAGTTATGACTGATAGACTCCACTTTTCAGGACAGGTCACCTCTAACGTATTTGTAACACTGCCATAGGTCGGCTAATAAAGGAAGCAATAGCATGGCATGTGTAA